GTTCCTGCAGGCCATTGGGAGGTGCTGCCTCAACAAGGTCTGGCACAGAACCAGGGAGGGGGGTTTGGGGTGGGGGGGATCCGGTGCTGCATGGGCGTGAGGGGGAAAATGCCATTTTTGGTGGTCTTGCCAAATGGGGGTGATCAAAGTGAGGTCGTGGGTTGGGAATCGGAGAATCAGAGAATGGGTGGGGTTGGGAGGGACCTGGAACATCATCTGGTCCATGAGCAGGGACATCTCCCACCAGAGCAGGGTGCTCAGAGCTCCATCCATCCTGCCTGGTCATGGTGGAGCATCCACAGCTTCCCTGGGCAGCCTGGGCCAGGGTCTCACCCCCCTCAGGGTGAAGAACTTCTCCCTAATTTCTAATCTAAATCTCCCCCCTTCCAGTTTGAAGCCATCACCTCTAGTCCTCTCACCACAAGCCCTTGTAAAAAGTCCCTCCCCAGCTTTCTTGTGGGCCCCCTTCAGATACTGGAAGGCCACCAGAAGGTCTCCCCAAGCCCAGCTCTCTCAGCCTGGCCTCCCAGCAGAGCAAAACTGTGACACTCCTCTGCTGCTTTTCATTACACAAGATAAAACTTGAGTCATTTAAACTATATCTCTGCTGCTGTTAATATTACTATGTTAACAGTAATATTTTTATATGATTCTTAGCAAGAGTTTGATCCAGGTGTCAAGAATTTCATGTATTTCACATATATAAGCACTAAAATATCCAGAATTTATTTGCATGTGCTTTTAATGTGTACTAGTTTTTATTTTTCACCTTGTTCTCTGGTCATCTAATCACATTTATTCAGTTTGAAGAAGCTGATGAAGTTTCAGCACTTTTAAAGCTTTTGGGTGCAGACACATTATTTACATGACCAGGTGCTGCCACCTTTGACTTTATCACCTTTAAAATTTCAGTCAAATCTCTCATTCTTGTAACTTTTCCAACGTGCTGCTTGCTTTTTATTTCTTTCAAACTTTTTGGAATGTGGAAAAGCAGCAAAGGAGAAATTTGATAACTTGTTAAAATAACCACAGGGGCAGTCCTCAAAGTAATTGTTTCATTCTTAAAATCCCTTTTTCATGAAAAATAATGAGGAGCCTTTGCTTGTAAGTGTTAGAGGGATTTCTGAAATACAAAAGTATTGCCCAAACCCCTTGAATTAATGCACATGAAGAAACTTTGTGTGTTTAGCTGTGGAATACTACAGTGTTTACAGGCTCTCTGCAGCTCTAGTTTGGATTATCTTGGGTAGTCTGTGTTGAAAGTCATCTTTAATGTCATTTTATTGACTGTTGATGATTAAACAAGTCTTAGGTGACAGTGGGGTGGCCTGAGAGTGGATGCAAACAGAACATGATGTGGTTTTAAGGGTGTTGCACCCATCCAGCAGCACTGGTGGTAGGAGACCATCTGAGGGATGTTTCCCTGTTCCTTGCAGCTGTCCAGTGATGCTGCTGTGAAAAGGATCTTAGCTGGGGAAAGGCCTGATGCTAAAGAGAAACCTCCATCCTCTAAACCTCGAGACAAAGAAAGCAAACAACCCAAACCAGAAGAAAAGGGTCATAAAGAGGTGGGTGTGTGCAGCTTCTGGGGGGTGCAGGGGCTCCCACTCTTTGTGCTGGGGGGGTTTTTTTTGGGTTTTAGTTTGCATTTTTTGCCTGTGTAAAGTAACTGTGTGATGGACTCACCATGCACTGGAATTAATGCTTCATTTTTCTTTCTTTTCAGCGTAGAGGAGATGCTGAAATTAATGACAGGAGCTCGAGCAGAGACAGGAAACTCAAAGGGGTTTTGAAAGAAAGTGAAGAAAGACAAAAGGAAAGCAATAAAGAGAAGGATAATGAAGAGAGGCACAAGGAGCCTGAAAGAGAAAAACAGGAAAGAGAGAGAAACAAAAGCAGAACGAGCAAGCAAGGAAGAGAAACAGAAAAAACCAAGGGAAAAGGAGAGGTGGAAGGAGAAGATCTGGAGCGTGAAAAAGGACAGGAAAAAGAGAAAAAAAATGAAGGAGGAAGAGAAAAGGAGAAGCTGAAAGGGAGAGACAAAGATAAGGCTAAAGACAGAGAGCGAGAGAAGGACAGGGAGAGAGGGAGAGAGCAGGAGAGGGGCAGGCAGAGGGAGAAGGATGGGGAGCACGTGAGAGAACATGGGAAGGATAAAGCAGAGAAAAAGGTAATGGAAATCTTCCCATGCCCTTGCCTGTTGGTGTTTCTGCTGCTTGAAGGACTCTTTAACAGCAGTTGTGCTCACCAAGTCAAGGTGCCCGTGTGGATTTGAGCTGGTGAGCCTGGGACTGAGGCTGTGTGTGTGTGTGTGTGTGTCACTTCTGGCCTGAGCCACCCAGCTCCTCTCACTCTGCTTCCTGAACACCCAACAGGCAGTTTCTGTTCTGAACTCTGGCCAGGAGGACTCAGACCTAGGTGCTGTTTGGCAGAGGGAGGTGGAGCTGGGCACTTCTGGCCTCGTGTGGGCTCCCTGTGGGGCATGCTGTTCCTGCAGCTTTCAGGGGAGATGGGGGTTGCAGCCAGTTCCTTTGGGCCATAACCAGTCATTAATATCCCCCTGGAGCTAGGGTGATATTAGGGTCTCTCTAATAAAGGGCAATCTAACTCTAAAGCCATTAATTTGTTTTTTCCAGGCTGCAGATTCTGAGGAATCCACACTCAGGAAAGTGCAGAAGCCAACTAAAGACAGCAAGGGGCAGCCAGACAACCAGGTTAGTAGCAGAGAACATTTGGGGAGGTGAACATTGAAAGTGTTTCATTTTAGGATGATTTGGGGCTCTGCAGGAAAGGACTGTGGGGTTGAAGGGCAGGTAGGTTGAAAACAGGTAGGGTGACCTGTTTTAAGGCTGTGACACAGATGGAACTGATCTCTGCCTGCTTGTTTGGGGTTCTTCTAGATCTATTTACTTTCATTTTTCCTCTGGGCTTGGGCAGAAGAGTCTTCTGGGTTTATTTCATTTTCCAGTTTTCATTTCTATGTATCCATACATTGGATACTTGAGGAAAAATATTTATGTGCTCTGAACTTTTCTGTTTATTTGTCTCAATCCTTCTTGGAAAGCTGTGAAGTAGTTTTGTTTTTGTTTGTGCTTTAAGGGAGGTTACAATTTTGGAAAGCCAATAGGTGCAGTGTTGTGTCTTTTGCAGCTGGGTGGTGGCAGGGGGAGCAGCAGCTCACTGATGGCCTCTGAACAGTAGCTGTTGCTTGTGATGCTGTTGTGTCTGCATCTGCTGATGCTTGCTGGCCTGAGGCAATTTGGGGAATTACAGAGCCATATGGCTAAATGTTTAAAGAGTGAGACTTCAATAAATTAACCTAAAGCAGCTCAGGCTAGGGAAAAAAAACCAGGCAGGATCCCAAGTCTAGCAGGAGCCTCTGTGGAGAGTCTGTGGGCCACTGACATCATCGTGTCTTCTGCATGAGGAGACAAATTTATGGCTATTCTTTGACTGGAATCCAACCCAACTTTAAAATAATCATTGGCACTTGGAGGCAGAGCTTATAAAAGAGTTTTTAGCCTGCAGCAAGTCTTCGTGGCCAAGTTCAACTTCCTGCAAACTGGGTCTCTGATGGAAATTCTGAGCCTCATCCCGAGCTGTGGTGGTGCTCTGGGGCACCAGGAGAATGCACTGGGGCAGGGAAGTTTCATTTCCCCTCTGAAGAGCTTTTGGGAGTGTTTCCAAGGCGTGTGGGTTGTTACCTTCAATCTAGGTGAGTGCTTGCCTCTGCTGGCTGTGTAACAGGGGACACCACTGAGTTTCAGGGGGATGGAACCATCCTTTAGACCAGCCTGTGACAATTGGTCGTTGTCTCAAGGCTGTGGAGGAGAGAAATGCAATTCAAATGCTCCCAATGAATTTTTAGAGCTGGAGGTAGCTGCACAAAGGGTGATTGAGAGGAAATTCCAGCGTGGAATAGCTGCAGGGTGCATCTGAAGGACTGAGGCTGATTCTCCTGTCCCTGCAGCAGGGTGACACCTTTATTTCCAGGGGCTTATCCTCTTTTCACCCTCTGTCAAGCCCTTGAAGTCACGTGGCAGTGAAACAAGCAGCTTAAAAGGAAGGGAAA